TTCTTCTTCTTCTTCTTCTTCTTCTTCTTCTTCTTCTTCTTCTTCTTCTTTTTAAGATTTTATTTATTTATTTGACAGACAGAGATCACAGGTAGGCAAAGAGGCAGGCAGAGAGAGGGGGAAGCGGGCTCCCTGCTGAGCAGAGAGCCCGATGCAGGGCTCGATCCCAGGACCCTGAGACCATGACCTGAGCCGAAGGCAGAGGCTTTAACCCACTAAGCCAGGAGCCCCTGTCACTGTTCTTATCACAGGCTTCCCGGGAGACATGGTGCAGGTCCTTGGGGAGTGTTCACTGGGGCTTTTCATGATTAGGAATCGCTCGATTGCTGTGGCCAAAGATGACGCAGTTGACCCTTGAACAATGTGGGCTGAACCACGCAGGCCCACTGACATGCAGGTTTTTTCTGATAAATGCAGTACAGGACTGTAGACGTATTTTCCTTACAATTTTCTTAATAATGTTTTCTTTTCTCTAGCTTATACTGTATTGTAAGAACATTGTATATACTACATAGGAAATACAAAATATGTGTTAATTGATTGCTTACATTGTGGGTGAGTCTTCTGGTCAGCAGTAGGTTAATGGTCCTTTTGGGGGGATGTCAAAGGTTATACAGGAATTTCCACAGTGCAGGGGTTGGCACCCCTAACCCCTATGCCATTGGAGGGCCTATGTATTTTTACTGAACCTTTTTCATGGCTTTCTTTTGTATTAAAACATGCATGACAGTTGAAAGTATATTCTGCTCTAACTTGAGGAAGGAAGGCAAGTTGGTTTTTTTAAGCAGCTTTGGAGCAGAGAGGGGAATGAATGGGCCTGTTTTGTTTTCCCTTCATTTCTGTTTGGTTTTGTTTCATTTTACATGGCTAAGAGGAGACACTGTTAAACAGAAACCTACTGCCATGATGTGGGCGGTCTGAGCATCATGCTTAGTCAAACCTTAGAATCCTGCTAGAGAACTCTGAGAAATAGAGAAGAAAAATAACAAAAGTGGGCACAACACACACACACACACTTACACACTCACATGCATACCTTCATGCCCCAGGTACTGTTTTAATGGTTTTACTCCTATGAACTCATTTAACTTCCCTGCAAATGCTGTAAGGTACAACATGCCATGCGTACCCATCTTCCAGGTTAAGGGCACTGAGGCACAGAGGGGTCTAGCGCTTGCCAAAGGACAGCTAGCCAGCATTCAAACCTGGAGTTCATCCTCTGAAGCGCTTGGCCAAGAAGAAATATTTTAAATTTTTAATAGGCATACATATTAATACTTATATTATTAATATTAATTGTTGGTATATTTATATTAATTATTTACTTACATGTTAGCCCTTGTATTCTAACTTATAAATATATTTTTAAATAGTTTTTTTTAAAGTTACCAAAAGCATAGTGGCAAACACCTGTAATGAAAACACAGTTGCATGTCACGCGTATATGTAAGCGGTTTAGGTGGAGATCCACGTGTGTGTGAATGTTTATAGTCCTTATTGAATCTCAGTCTGTCAGTTCCATATCGTTAAGTCCGTTTATTGACTATAAATTTTGTCTGGCCAATCCCTTGAGTGCCTCTAATAACATCTAGCATTTAAAAGTAATATTTAAAGTCAATTAACCAGCAATTAGTGTTTTTGAAATACAGAGGGAATAATTTTAACTTCGCCTATTCACAAACTCGGGAATTCTGTCTTTCCTAATGCTATGTTAGAAGGGAAAGATGGATATGGTTTCTTTTACTCCGTGGAGACAGTTGGGAGGAGTGGATAGCTGCCAATCCAATCCCATGTTCCCTAGAGTCTCGACTCAAAAGAAAACAAAACCAAATCTCTCTTGATCCTGTGTTGTTTATTGATGATTTAACGAAAGCCGTGTAACCACGTGAAGTGTTAACATCGAGACCAACACCGGAGGTGTGCCCTTCAGAATTTAAGCAAAGTCGAAGCTAAGGCAGTGTTGGAAAAACCACTCACTTACGCTGAAGAAGTACCACCTTTCCAGTCTGAGGGCTGGGAAGCAGAAATTCATGGGCGTGGCAGGTCCACCTGACCGTCCGCTCATTTTGTGGTGTTCCTTTTGTGTTTCAACAGGGAAGAGCTTCACTCTGACCATCACCGTTTTCACCAATCCACCACAAGTTGCCACTTACCACAGAGCCATCAAAATCACAGTGGATGGACCCCGAGAACCTCGAAGTAAGTGGGCCCCCCATCGGGGCTGGCACGCCTTCCGGGCTGGTAAACTGAGGCACCGGGGATGGTATCTCAGAATCCTTGGGTTGGCCTGGCGCTGCTACGTGTGGCTACATGTGGCTACCTCTGTCAGAGAGGACTATGCGGCCCCTGCAGAGAGAAAAAATTTATGGTTGACACTCACCCCTCAAAGTCTGTCTCTGAGCCCGGGACTCCTTTTAGAGCATTCTCTTAGGGGGCAGAGAAGCAAATCGGGCAGAGTCAAGTGTGTGTTTGAAGCATTTCAGGGCCACAGGAGGCTGAGGACTTGTCCCTCAAATGCACAGTGAAGTGAGCACAGGGTCAGAAACAAACAGTAAATGGATGGGTGGGGGGCATGAGGGGGTCTGGGCACCAAGAAAAAGTGCCTGAGCTTCAGAGTAGACCACAAGGAGCTGATTACCATCCATGCTGGCCTTTTGTCCATTTGTTAAAGCAAGAGATGAAAACTATGAAAATGACCTTTTTCTTTCTGTGACACAGATCAGAATCTTATTACAGGACTGATTAAAATAGAGAATGGGAGGGCAGAAGAATTCCCGGGGGAAAACCAGTAAATATAGAAAGACGGTACCAAAAAAAGATCTCCTGTGAGGAAAACTTTTTTAAAAAGCAGTGGGGTTGTTTAGTCTGCAGAAAGATGTCTTCACGGTGACTTAATGACTATCTTTGAGTAAACCCAAGAGTAACACTCTTTTCCAGAGCCACACCCTTCCCCAGCACAAAGGCCGCGTTCTGCCCAGCGTCTGCGTGCCTCCAAACTGTATCAGGTCCCTGGTGGAAAATGAGTACTCTCTCTTCTGATGGGAGAGCGATTCAAAGACAGGGCTTCCCGCTATGGTCGAGATCCAGCGAGATCAGGTTGTAAGCCAGAGTAGTTAGGAATTTGGGCTCTAGGGGCAAAACAAGAGGAGTCTGGTGGTGGTTCAGGCACATAAGCCTTCAGCAAGTTACGGAGCCTCCCTGGACCTCAGTCTCCTCATCTGCAAAATGGAGACAATAGTGAGAGCTGCTTTCTGAGACAGAAGGAGACAGTGCTGGGTGCCTGGCACAGAGGACGAACTCAGCCAAAGTTCTCCATCCCCAGTAGAGGCTCCTGGCTGCCTCTGAGACTGCCGCTAGCAGGGCGGTCCCCCAGAGGCGCTTCTCACGGTGGGGATGCTGCTGGGGCGATGGGGTCGCCCCCAGGCGTGGCTCTCCATGTCACGCACCCTGTGCTCACCCCAGCTGTGGGAGTGTTTCCTGCGGTCCTGGCCACAGCCTCAGGGTGTCTCAGTCACTTGCTAGAACCATCCCACGTGCTGCCTCAGCTTCCTCAATGCCCCAGAGTGGGAAGAACCCCCACAAGGAACCACCATACCCACCAGGGACAGCCCCCCGGGACATGGCATTTCATTCACCATCCCCTTACTGCCATTTGCCTAGTCTGTGACTCCCATTGTTTCTGACCCCGTTTACCCCCTCTCAGCTTTTTTTTCTTGAAGTCGTGGAGAAGATCCAGTCATGCCCAGACTCAGGAAACTCTGGGAGTCGGTAGCATCCCCTGATTCCAACTTATGTTTGAAAAGCAGGTCACGGGCAGGGGACCACACAGTGACAGCCAAACCCACCTTTGTAGGTTTCCCAAGTAGGAGCAGCAAACTGAAGACTCATAGAGACCCTGTTCTGTTAATGTGACAGAAACATGGCGCAGGTGCCTTGGCTCTCTGCAGAGGCCCAGAGAGGAAGCAGACTTCGGTTCTAGCCATGCACAGGGCTGGGGGCAGGCAGTTGTGAGGTGTAAGGAAATTGACTTTGAGGGTAATTAAACTTTGAGAAAGGCCCACTCAGGTGCCTGGAGAATTGCTCTCTGTTAAAAAATAGAAGCCATTCAATCATTGAACGCTACATCAAAAACCAATGATGTACTCTATGGTGGCTAACCGAACATAATTAAAAAAAAAAAAAAGAAGAAGCCCATTCTAATCGTTCAAATGCCAACCTGCCTGGAGGAAGAAACTTAAACCAGTGACCCCGTGGTATACCTCTACCTGTTACTCTCTCCTGCATTAGATAAAGGGCGGGTTTTGCCCCACTGCCAATATTTCCCATAACATTCGAAGACCCACCCAGCTTCAGAAGACAAATGGTGGGCGCTCTGACTTTTAAGAATTGGCAGTCAGAGAGGGAAAATACGGTATTGTGGTGGCGTGTGTATCCTGTTTGCCCTCCTGCTGTTTTCTAACTTCAGAAAACAGTCATGATTGAGAACGGCTCCTTGAACAGACAGAAGGGATTTGCTGCAAAGAGGCACCTGTTCTTATGGAGTCTTTCCTGACAAGTGGAATTTGGGGTCTGAGGAAAAATTAAATGGAATGTAGTAAGCATGGTATAGGGGGGTGTTAGAGTCCCAGGTAGATAGTCTCACACGGCACAAAGGACTTCTAGAAAAATAATTGAATGCACACAGGCTCCCAGGTGGCTTGAGCAATCCTGACTTTTCTATTGACCCTAGGAAGCAAGGGTGGGCCCTCAGCGCTAATTTTCATGGTTGTCTTCCTCATTATGTGAAAATCTAGATTCAAGGTGGGAACTACTTTTTGATGAAGCTCGACTCACAGCCATTTTCCTTCTTTCTTTCTCTTTCTTTCAAAGACAAAGTGAAGCAAGTTTTCTTCAGTTTTATTGAGATATAATTGTCATACAACATTGTGTAAGTTTCAGGTTTGGAACATGATGATTTGATATATGTGTATGTTATAAAATGATCGCCACAGTAAGATGAGTAAACACACCCATCCCCTCAGACAGTTACAGTTTGTGTGTGTGTGTGTGTGTGTGTGTGTGTGTGATGAGAACTTTTAAGATCTGTTCTCTAGCAATTTTCAAATATACAATATGGTGTTGTTCCCTCTAGTTATCATGCTATACTTGACATCCCCAGGACTTGTTCACCATATTCACCGTATAGCTGGAAGCTTTTACCTTCTGACCACCTTCACCCACTTCCCTGCACTCCCACTCAGCCCCCATCCCCCGCCCCTGCCTTCCACCAATCTGTTGCTCTCTGTTTCTAGGAGTTCCTTTTTCTTTTTTTTAGATTTTACATGTGAGATCATACAGTTCTTGTCTTTCTCCGTCTGACTTATTTCGTGCAGCATAATGCCCTCGATGTTCATTCATGTTGTTGCAAATGGTAGAAATTCCTTCATTACAAGGCTGAATAATATTCCACTGGGTGTGTGTGTGTGTGTGTGTGTGTGTGTATTTTATCCACTCATTGATTGATGGACACTTAAGTTTTCTCTGGTCTTGGCCCTTGTGAATAAGTCACAGTCACTTTCTAATGTAATGTTAAGAGAGGTCATTGCATGTCAATCAGAATGCCCACTCAGTGTCACATCTGTGGATTAATAACACCTCCCAAGTCCCTTTTCTCATAAAGGACTATGAATTCTGGCCGATCCTGGCAAAGTGTCTCTGGCATTTGCAACTCAAATAGTTTTGAAAAGTTCTATTGTTTCATGAAATCAAAGACTAGGGGAGAGGAAGGGAGAGCCTCCAGGCCTAATGGCCTCAGACTGAAAAAAGGGAAAAGCCCAGAGAATTGAAATGATGTACTTTGGTTGAAAAGAAATAGTTGGTGATGAAGGCAGAAAGAGAATGAGGAGCTCCTGGCACACAACCCTGCACTCCTATCTTACCATCCATCTGTCCTTCCATCCATGCACTGCTCCATCCACCTGTGTCGTACGTACATGACCTATTCTAAGCTCTCTGATGTGGCTTCATAGCCACATGTTTGAAATGAGGTGTTGGCTTCCAGGACGTCTCAGGTTCATGCCTGCTGTAAGATGGTCTAGAAAGGGCAAATGGTGGTGTCTCGTCACAGGCATGGAGCCTTCAACTTGAAACACTTGTGCACAAGGTGTCACAAGGTGTTTCTCCCCCACATTTTGCAGGATTTTATTGACATCTCAGACTAATAGGGAAATTACCAGTGGATGAAAAATTGAATTTATTATGGAGAAAGAGCACCAGCAGAAGATATCCTGGGCTGGGCTCCATTCAGCAGCAATGGGGAATCTGTTTTCAGTTCATAGATAGAACACTTTGTGGCTTGTTAATGTATTGAAAGATAGTGTTCTCATTAAGTGCAAGAGTTGGACTGACAGGATTTTTCAGGACAAGGATATTTGAGAGTTGTTTTTATGTATATTTTTATACTTGGGGGGATCTGGTGAAAAACTCAAGCTCTAAACCATGCGTCTGTAACATAATACTATTAAGATACTGAAGCGTATTCTCTGCAGAGACTAGGTAGAACCTCAGTGCTGTGGAGGAAGATATTTTGCTAAGCAGACATTGAGGGGAGTGAGTAGTCGGGACCCTGAGCAACCCGATGGCAAGGGGTGGGGATCCCAGGGATAGGGACTAGTTGTCATTCTGATGTCACAAGCCATCAACCGTCTGGCTGGGTATTGGTTACATCTGGAACACTGAGTGACCTAATTAAAACTTGAAAAGATTAATACAACAAATACTGGCCATTTCTGGGAGAACTCCTGGCCTCAGGTCCCTCACAGAAACTGTTGTGTGGGCTTGGAATTCACAATCACAGATAGCTAGGTGGAGCCGTTCCTTAAAAGCTTCAGAAAATACTTTTTTTCTGGGGCACTAACCTCTTGCCGACTAACCATTTTTAAATAGGGAATCAAGGTTAACATGGGTCCCTTGGAGGACCTAACCCTTTATTACTTTGTCGCTTTGCTAAGGATTTTGTTGGGATTATACCACACAAATATATTTCCTTCTATGATTTTGAATGGAAGCAGCAAATCTCTAACAGAGACAGAAGAAACGAGATCCTTAAACATGGAGACCATGTTTGGAGGGAAAAAAAGGAATGTGTGAAAGTACCTGAAAACTATGGCGGTAATGGACCTAAAAATATTTGAAATCAAGTTTCTTTGGAAAAATGCCCCATGAGCAGAAATGTTTACAGATTGCTCGTGTGACTGACTAAGGTACAGGGTTTTTAAAATATTATTTTCTCTTAATAATAAAATTACTTAGGGACACCTGGGTGGCTCAGTCAGTTAAGCGTCTGCCTTCAGCTCAGGTCATGATCCTGGGGTCCTGGGATCAAGTCACATGTGGGGCTCCCTGCTCGGCGGGGAGTCTGCTGCTTCCTCAGCCCTTCCCCCTGCTCATGCACTCTCTCTGTCAAATAAATAAATAAAATCTTTTAAAATAATAATAATAAAACATCTAATAATAAAAATAGCTGGCAATTAGTACCATTGTTCAACCAGCACCATTCAAAGAGCTTCCCATACATTAGTTGGTATCATCTTTGCAAGAACAGGTAAGGAAGTTGAAGCAAAACAAAGTGAGGTCCAAGGTTATACCATCAGGAAACCAGAACTGGAAAGAAGCAGTCCAGACACGGCGACCCACAGACGCCAGTGTCTGGTTTGAAGAACTGCACCATCTCCTCCTTGGGCTTCATTGTATTGAAATTTCTGTTTCAGAAATTTTTTATTAGGAGGGTTTATCAATATAATTCTGGTTCAAATACAGTCTTGAAGAAAGCAGAGCCTCAGAGCCTTGGCAGTCATTGGGCAGGCGGGGAGCCAGCGCTCCCGGGTGGACCCTGGGGCAGGGGGCAGGACCCAACAGGCAGCCATGTGACCCCAGGTACTGATGGTTGGCTCCACGTCTGTCCCCGGGGTCTGCTTGGGGGAAGGCATCGACAGGGACCTGAAGCAGGGACCTCCGTTGTTGGCCTGCAGGAAAGCTAGATAATGTGACAAAATGATCACCAGGCAAACATTCCAAGTTCTGGTCCCTCCCTTTGGCAAAGAGCTTCCACGAGGGTCCAGGTAGGGACTAGAGGGATCCAGCCCTCTCGAGGGATGGAAACTTTCGTCCTTTGCTCTTCGCCGATTAGTGGAATAGCAGGCAGTTTTATATGTCTTTGAGCTCAGGATTGTAATGATCCATCTACGGTCACTTTGTTTGTTCAGAAGAGCTTAAACATTTCTTCCAGGCAGTGAACAATGATCTACTTAATCCCTTAGATTCTTCAAATAGCAGATTTGGACCTTAGTTCTTTCTAGATGAAATCCTGATTCACAAATAATAATGCTTTCTTCCCTCCCACCCAGATATAAAGTAGGAGACAGGCAGAGGCTCCAAGAGGAGGAGGAAATGTTCTTCTTATGTTCCTCCTCCCCACTCTGAAAGGCATTTTGGTGCTAAAATGGACATTCTGGGTGACTTCCACTGGTACTTTAATCTTGCCATGCTAAGTGCCCAAACTACCCCAAGACTTAGCAAAAGCAGTTTTTCAAAGATTGATAATATTCTGCCTAAATGTGTCCAGTGAATTTTAGAACCTCATTCTATTTATTATTTTAGTAGTAGCAAACTAGACTAAGAAGAATTTTATATACATAAAGATGTCCCTGACCCTTAAGTTTTCTACAGACTTAATTCAGGCCAAGGTCCGAAAGGTTCACGGGATGAATGGGAATATTAGAGGATCCTGGGGGAAAGTATGCTTCTCCCCCTGGAAGCAGTGATAATCTATCCCCCCCCCATCAGCTCACCAAGACCTGGGGAGGCCTGCGACTTCTTGGTAACAAGCCTGTCTATATTAAAATCACTAGGATTTTTATTTGGGATTTGTATTGCTATAGAAAGGAAGGGGGAAAATTCCTTCCAGGTAGGTACTGGTGAGAACCCCAGGAAAGGATCTAGGTGCCTTTTCAGTCTAACAGAGGGGGAGAGGGGAGAGAAGAAGCATGCAATGAAAATTAGACCATTCTCTTGGATTTCTCTTTCTAGCGGGGCCATGGCAAACCGAAGTGCTATTTCATTTATTTTTTTTTTAAGATTTTATTTATTTATTTGAAAGAGAGAAAGCCAGGAGGAGGAGCAGAGGGAGAGGGAGAAGCAGGCTACCCACTGACCAGGGATCCAGACTTGGGGCTCAATCCCATGACCCTGAGACCGTGACCTGAGCCCAAGGCAGACACTTAACCCACTGAGCCACCCAGGCACCCCCCCCCAAGCTCTATTTTAGGTGTCACCCCAGTGAGGTCAGGATCTAAGCCAATATGTCACAGTACTTGTTAGAATTTAGTATATAAAGGGCTAAAAGAAAAAAAAATCTGCCTCTATTTAGGCTTCCAATTTCTTAATCTTAAAACATGTAGGAAGGTCTCTGGATCCTGAATGGAGGACCTGGATTCACACTGGCGCCACCAGGCCAGTGGGTGTGACCTTGGGCAATTATCTTAAGTACTTTTATCCTGGTCCTCCTCACTTTCCTCTTCTGTCCAACCAGGCGATGGGATGAGATAATCTCCAAATTAGTTCCCACTCAGAAGGGGTAACAAAATATTGTCAGAAAAACAGAGTCACGGGCTCCCCACAAACAAGGCCCCTTAGAGGCTGAGTCTCCTGGGCTCCCCTTCCCTGGGAGAAGGGCACTTTGTCCTATGTGAGGTCGGACATAGCCACTTGTACCCACGTACATAATATGTTAGATATCTTTTTTTTTTTTTGGCTGTAAATTTTTGAAAGGGCTTTTGTCATTTATTTTTGAAATTATCTGGCTATGAGTAACTCATTTCATTACCTTCGGCCCTGATTTCCTCCCGTGAACAACGTGATTACAATCAAGGTTGAGATTCCCCAGTCTAGTACTTGCTAACTGTGTGGATGACCATACCTGGTGGGCGTTGGCTGGCCCGGCCGAGCCTCCAAGGACAGTAGCCATACTGACCTCACAGTGCTGGGAGGCTGGAGGAGACAGCCTCTGTAGAACATTTAGAACACGCGTTAAGTGTTCGGAAGACAGAGCAATTATTTGCATTTAGTCTTGGAATCCTTTGGCTATGCGAAAACTCTAAACCAAAAAAAAAAAGTGAATCCTAAGTTTAAAAATTCATGAAGTTGCCATCATGCTGCATTTTTTAAGACATTTAATTAAACATTTATATATTTTGATTTTTTTTTTCAGTTTTCCTTTTGTATTTAGACCCAGTAAAATTTCTTTTCTGGCATTTTTATGGACCCTTGAAACACTCTGGGCACTGTTCCTAAGTCCCTCTTTAGTAAAATGGCCTTACTCCCAAATGTTGAACTTTGTGAAAAATTCCAGGGGAAAAAAATCCTGTTTGAGTAACAAATGAAAGTCGGTACTGAGATCTAACGCGTGGGCTCTTTTCAATATATGCATGACAGGCTGGAGGGGAGACCTTTCCATGTTGTTCTAGAAAACGGACGTGAAGTATGCCAGAGTCTGTTAGAGCCTGAATTCTTGCCCCAGAGGAGAGCAGCTCTGCTCCCCGGGGTGCCTGGACCAGCTAAATACACGAAAGTTTTGCAAACTTAGGATGACACACTCAGGCACCCTCTAAGTTCCCTAAACCAACGTGTCTTTCTAGACTTATTCTGGGGTTTGGGGGGGATACTTTAGTATCTGTTGGGTAGGGCTTTTCTTCATTTCCTCCAAAGACATTCAGGGACACATTTCAGGGACACAGGTGCTCTCCCCATGGAATTGGGGACCCTTCTGCGCACGCGCGGCTCCTGGGTTTACAAGCCCTGTGCCCTGCGGCCTGGGGGAGCAGCCCCCAACCTAGGGTGGTTAGGGAGCAGCACAGTTGAGGTCCACGCAGGTCATCCAGTTGCACTGTGTGGGGGCGGGGCCTAAGCAGGGGCCTTGGTCACCTCGGGAGCTGCAGGAACAGGGGGCTCCAGCGATGGGAATGCCACTGCCAGGCCTGGCACGGGGAACCTCGCCTGTGGAAGGACTGTTGTTGGCCCCGCCATGCAGCATTATCACTATCAGCTTCTCACTTCGGAGTGGTTGAGAATTTTTTCCGCACACGAGCCATTTTCCACTTTTCATTTTGAAAACAAACAAACTCGCGCTAGTTTTCCCAAAGGTTCGGGGCTTTTTCCATAAGCCGTGTAGCCAAGAAAGTCATTGAGCAAGAACTCACCCAGTGGGTCTCCTAGAACCCCACCGCCC